GCAAGTTTCTACTTTGTCGTATGTCGTCTCTGGTTCGAGGTCTTCTTCCAATTCCGGGTAGTTCTGTTATGGTTCGGAATATTGGCTCTGATCTATTGAGTCGTAGAGACATTTCGATTAAATTATTGTCGTATAACATTTTGTAAATGTTTTTGTCTAATTTCTAATCTATTTTGGTTAATTCTAAGCTATTAAGGTCTTGTTCGAGACTTATGGTCGCACCAGATGAGTTAGGACCGAGTTGGTTAACTCATAGAGTAATTTCGGATAGGGTACACCGTCTGCTCGTCACGCTATTTTATTTTCGGCCGGATAGATTCGTGCAACTTCTTAGTCTAATACCGATCCTAATCTTACTCTTATACTATCTAGTCTCAGGTTGTTTAACTAGTCTCTGCTAGGCTCAATAGATCTAGGGTATACTGGTTTATTGCGGCTGCTGAAGTGCTCGGGAGAGTCCAACTAATTTCTAAGTTAAATTCAAATCTCTCTGGTGCTGAAATTACAAGTAACTTCAGCACTTACAAATAAGTGGGTTGTTAGTTAGATGGATCATGATTGGTTAATATTAAATACTTTACATTGGTAAAATATCTAAATTATCCAATCATAAAATGTAGTTTAGATCAGGTTCCACAATACTCACTTCATAGATCCTCTTTAGATGTTTGATAATTAATAATAAGTGCACTAAAACTGAGACTACTTAATAGCTGTTGACTTATTTGCTGCACAGGATAGACAGACTGCTATACATGTATTTTTCGTGACTTTTCTTACTATATTTGAGAATTTTCAGCATCAGAACTTAATGATGCTGCTGTAGGAAAGCCACTAGTTGCTTACCACTCTGAAATGATTTGTCGTTATGAGTTTCGTCCTGATAATTACCATTTACTTGAAAAAAATAGGTGAATAGCTAGTGTTTTTATTTACTTCTACAACTACACAAAGGTGAAGGAAGTTGTCGTTAAACTAAGCTTTCAAGATTTATTAGAATCTTCACGAGAGACAAGGCAAAAGAACTTTAGATTCATTGCTTATAGATAAATATAACTGGGAGATACCACTGAGAGTACTGTCTAGAATGGATTTTGATTCCAAATTGAAGCGCTGTTTTTTTTAAAAAAAACTTCTAGCTTATTTTTTCAATCAGAATGATTGTGTCGAGTTTAGCTGAAAGCATTTTTTGAGCGTTACGAGTGGTGAATTGTTATTTATGGCGTCTATTGTAATTGAAAAAGACTCACAACTAACTTTAAAAAAACACTTAGGTAATAGTTTTGTTTTTAGAATTTTTTTTATTGGTAATTGTTCCATTTCTCTATCTGTAGCTGGAAACGTTTGATCGTTTTTGTGCAATTGCTTCATCATTGCAGGTATCCATCAGTTCATACTTATTCAATTGTCGACTTTAAGCAAAAACAGCATGGGACGAGAAATTTAAAAGGGACACAAACATGAGAAGAGTGTTTTTAAAAGGAAAACAAACAAAACAAGAGTGCTCGTATCAGGGCGAAGCCTTGAATTTTTCAACTGCCTTTTAAGGTTTATGGAGCAGTAATAACATTAAAAAATTAAAATGAAATTTTTTTTTTCTAAAATTTGAATTTTTTTAAACGAAAATCATCCCCCCACGCGCCATACAAAACACAAAAGGATAGATTTTGCTCCTTGTAACAAACCAATTATGAGGAATAAGCTTCTTTTAACCAATTTGGAACAATTTCTAAGACGGATTAACTCTCCGCTTACGCGTTAATAGCGCGAAATATATCGTGCGTTAATTGTCCCAAATTGGCCAAAATGGCAATCTTTAAACCCCCATAACTTTACGAAAAATGATCACAGGTAAAATTTAAGCTCAATTTTAAGCTCAAGACAACAATGGCTTTCGAATGATCTAAAAAAATTCCGTCAAAAATGGCTAGTTAAAAAATCGAAATTTGTCTGACGAAAAAAAAAACCCACCCCGAGCACAAATATTCTGTTACTTTCGTATCGAAAGTCGGAACAACAAGACTGCTTGTATCAGGGCAAAGCCCTGAATGTTCCGACTGCCTTTTAAGGTTTATGAAGCAGTAATAACAAAAAAAAATTAAATATAATAAAATAAAATACATTTTTTTTCTAAAATTTGAAATTTTTTATGAAAATCAACCTCCCACACGCCATATAAAGTACAAAAGGATAAATTTCGCTCGTAGAAGAGCCAAGCCCTGAAGATTCTGAGTGCCTTTTAAGTCTTATGGAGCAGTAGTTAATAAATGTAATAAAGTAAAAATGAAAAAAGAATTTTTTTTTATAAAATTCGAAATTTTCTTATGAAATCATCCCCCACACTCCAAATAAATAAACAAAAGAATAGATTGCGCTCATTATAACAAATCATTTATGGCAAATGAGCTTCTTTCAACCATCAACTTGGAACGATTTCTAAGACGGATTAAAAATCTGCTTACGCGTTAATAGCGCGAAATATATCGCTTGTTAAATGTCCCAAATTGGCCAAAATGGCAATCTTTAAACCCCCATAATTTTACGAAAAATGATCACAGGTAAAATTCTTTTTTCAAATTAAGCTCTGGACAACAATACTTTTAGAAAGATATTTTAAAACCTCCGTCAAAAAAGGCTAGTTGAAAAGTCGAAATTTGCCTGAAAAAAAACACCAGAGCACGAATATTCCGTTACTTTCGTTACGAAGGTCGGAACAATAAAAATGCTTGTTTCAGTAGAAATTGTAAGATTTCACATCGTGAGAAGCTGCATAAACAGAATCTAATTCAATTAAAAAACAATGAAGCAGATTATTCTAAATTATCAACTAATATTCAAAAAACCGTCCAGAAAATTTTTTAAATTTTGCTCCTACACACTATACTGCTGGCGCCGAATGTAAGCCAGCCGAAATACTTGCCAATGCCAAGCTTGAACAACCATTGATTCGGTTTTTAATATGAATTATTGTAGAAAAAGCTATGACTTACGCACGTATTTAACAGATCATCAATCAGAAAACATTTAACTCAGAAGTAAAAATGGATGGAGGTGAACATTATAGATGTGAACATTGCTCACCGTCTATAAATCTGTTGAAAAGTCAATTTTTCTCAGTTCGCACGTCGCCTGCAACAGTAAATTTTACTTTTAGTGATATCTTTTTAAGCCAGCAGTAATAAAAACTTGTAATCTGAACACAGAAATTTAATAAAAGACAATAACTTGCGGAACTATCTTATAATACTCAGCTTACAAATGATTCGAGTATCAATTTTCTGGCTTTTGTTAAACCTAATTTCAAATACCAATATCTAAAAAAAAACTTAAACAGGTTAAATCACTCGCCTCAACAGAAGTAGTTTTCATCAATAAAATCCTTAAAAAATATGAGATTTAAGAGGTTGTTACCTTAATTAGTAGTTGCTCTTGATGATAAATTGAGTCAATGCCAAAAACGAATTTCAAAGGAACTCAAGCTTGCTTGCTTTTATTTAACTGTTCAACTAGTTTTTTTAAAGAACCGATTACTTTTTAATCGTTTTAAGCATGTTTGGAGTTTTACGCAAAGATTATTTCATCAAAACTTTGTTGCAATATAACGTCTGGCGGTATATAACGTATTTTGAGCGGTAAATTTGTTTTGAATTTGTCGACGCTTGTCGAAAAACAGTTATCAAAATGTCAAATCTTACTTACTAAAATTTTAAATGTGATTTTTTCAATTTTTCCGGCTCTTTCTCTTAATTTTATCTTTGAGCATGTTTTGTTTTATAGAAATTACAATTTTTGGAAGATGAAAGTCGGCTGTAAAGAGACTAAGGTGTATGTTTTTTAAACGATTGTTTTTTAAAAAGAAAATCAGGAATTTTCCCGAGTTGACCGAAATGTGATCTCAGAGTTTCCAACAAATACTTTGCAGGAGTTTTTAAATCGATTAAACTCTAATTACCATATCCTGATTTCACGGAGTGTGGGGTTTCAAAAAATTTTTGCAAAATTTTTAGACTTTTTTCAAATTACTTTGCTGAGCACTCCCAGAGACACAATAAAGACCCTATTTTGACCAAAAATTTTGCGCCGCATGAACATTTTCAAAAAATGGCTCAAAAAGCTGTTTTTTGGCACTTTTTGGAAAATTTTGACCAAAAAATTGCGTTCTTTTTCGCCGCAACCCCCTCCTTCAAAATAAGTATACATTTCGCTGAAGTCGCCTTTTTCAAAATTTTATTGTTTTTTAGCCATCAAAGTGGTAGATTTAATCAAATAATACCAAAGAGGGACCCTTTGCTTGGTGTGGGGGTTTATTTTTTTCCACTTTTTTTAGCAAGTTTGACAAAATTAAGCATTTGGTCGAAGTGTACATTGATGCAAATTTATCCATCATTGTAAAGTATTCCAAAAGTATATGATGCAAAAACCGTTCATCATACTTGTTATGTAGTACCAATGGGTCAATTTATCCTGAATAACCTCTACAATTTATGCAAGCTTTTCGTGATGAAAAGTTTGAATATGTTTTCTTTACAATAAAAAACAATCTAAAAAAAAATTCTGTCATTTTCTGTAGGCAACCGAAATCGAAGCAAAAAAAGTCCAGTCGAAGCTAGTAAGTTTTTTCTGGTAAACAGCCGTACACATTCCTATTTTAGTGCATTAGGTTTGAAATGAACTCAATTGAAAAACACAAGAAATTTTCAGCAAAATTGTACGTTTCCGTCGAGAAGTTGTTTCATTTTTAATTGCTGTCATTCTATCCTCAGTTTAATTTCTTCCATTTTTTTCTTTTCCTTTGCAAATTTTAGTTTTTCTTATGAAAATTTATATCTAATTTTTCTAATATAACAAATTTGCCATAATGCATGTTTTGATCTTGCCATAATGCATCTTACTCCATTATAAGCAGGTTCAAAATTTATTCTTAATGGTCTATTAAGACGTTATAAAAGTAACATAACAAAAACTTATTCAACATCATCAGAACAAAACAGTTTTTTTTCTCAGCAATGACAGATGCGTTTTAATCCATTACTCCGGTCATTCAAATTCACTGCCGATTTTGTGTTTCGAATGTTCTCCCATTTTTGTTTCTGGTGCTCAATCATCACTCGCGAAATGTCTTCAAACAATGTATCTACTCCTTTTCCGTCTTTGGCTGACGTCATGTACCATTTATGGAAGTTGTTCACTTCGCATAGTAATTCAATGCTTCTTGTGTCGATTGTACCTGTGGACATACAAATATTGCTGCAATAAATTGGACAGAAAGCATAATAATAAATGAATAAATTATAAAATCAAGACTGCTCGTATATCAGGGCAAAAACCCTGAATGTTCCGATTGTCCCTTAATTCATTTCGAATATTTTTTGGGGAAAGAAAACCTTGAAAACCTAAACATTTCGCTCAAGGTCAAAGGGTAAAATTTTGATTCGTTCGAAATTAAAACGACCAATAGGCCAGCCTCAATTCAATTTGGAACGAATTTGTTGTTCAGGATAATTCGCAACGCAAAAATATTTCGCGTTACGCTCTCAGCTTTATGAATAAACTCTTCAAAGCGCGCATAATTTACTCCAGAACATGGCAAATTTGGCAACTTTCAAACCCCCAGAACTGTTCAAAAAATGATCGGATATGAAATATCTTTTTTCATTTGAACTCAGGAGGTCGATATCTTCAATGAAGTTAAAGAAGTTTGTTGAAAATTATTGTTTCGATCGGTGAAAAATGACTGGATAAAAAAATCACACCGAGCATATATAAACATCTTCGAAAGTCGGAACAATTATGATTAATATATAAAAACAGAGCGACTGACAAGCAATAAAAATAGAACTTGCAAAAAAATTTTAATAGTTGCCAATCGATTTTTAGGAGGCACTTAGCGTAGCGGTAAAGCGTTCACTTTGTAATTGATTGTCAGATCGTGTATTTGATCCGATGCCATTGCAATGATAGTGTATGAGGACGAGTTCTCACTTGACCTCTAGCTTCAGGTCTACCCCAGTCTGGCCAATTTCGGCTGCAATAGTGGTACCACGTGAAATTTCTAGACTCTAAAAAACTGCCTTGAGTCTCAAAAAAGACTAGTTGGAACTTCTTGTCGTGGCGTGCTTTTTTAACACACCATGCCAAATTGTTTTAAGTTATTGAAAAGTGACAATTATTTTGCTGTAGCCCTTGACTACCAGCGGCGGCAGTTCATCAAAGTTTTAAGCCAGTTTCGGTTGCTTTTTTCTAGGTTTTGTTTTGTACGAAATGTCTATTGATATAGCCATAGATGCAAGCATTTTTCTAGACAAATTGAAATTTTTGCAATGTTGGACAGTTGCAGAAAGCCCGTGACATCCCTCCGGATAATGACAAACTTCTAACCTATTATATTATGACTAAAATTGATTGTATGACCTTGATAGTTGTGGTACATTTAGGTGAAAACGAATGGCTTTCAGAGCAAGAGTTAAACGTTTACCAAACAGTTGTTTTACGTTAATCTGTACCCAATTCGTTTCAGTTCAGAATAATAGATTGCTCGTACATTGCTGTATGACAGCCCTAACGAAGTATCAGTAACCGCACATCTTTCTCGGTTCATTGAATTTCATCAATCAGTAAACTTCAATCCGGCTTGTGGACTTACCTTTTTAATACAAGAATTCGCAACAATTTGCGAAAACGCAACAGTTCCGCACATTTTATGCTTTTCATAAATACTGCTAACCAAAAACCATATTCATTTGTTACACTTATGTTCATCTAAGGGATAGTGAGCTCAATTTTTAGGGTTTTTGGACTGAATTTAAGTTTTTGTCACCAAGTTTTGCCCTGTTACCTGAGATATGGCGTTTATTTCATGAGAATTGTGCTCAACAAATTTTGTGTTGTGCAAAATTGATTGTTTACAAAATTAGAGACATTTTTTGCAATTTCTTATAATTAAAAAAGATGATGACTCAGGCTGGAATAAGAATTAAAAAATTTTTAATATCAAACAGACCCAGAAAGTTATTGATACGTTTGGCATTTTAGATCTGACCCCAATTTTTCATTTTTTTCTAGAATTACGAATGTATGTATGGCTCTATGCGTAATTTTTTAAAAGTTTTTATTTAAGGGGAGAATGGAAAAATGAATTTCATTGCTATAAAAATTTAAGCTATATGTAAAACCTCGGGAAAATTTTTCGAATAAAACAAAGTGAATCAACAATTGGGTTACACTTGAATTGTTCTACCTAAGTCACACTTGGTTCCAACTAGAAAACATGGCACATCATCGTCGAGCACAGTCAAAGACATATTGCGCCACTCTGACAAACTCTTCATAGAGCCGTCCATCCCAGCCAAACTGAAAAAAAAATCTCATTTTAATTTTTTGATTAGACTTTGTTTAAATAATTCATTGTCATTTGACTTAGTTGAAAATTAAAAAAAAAACTATTTAAGAGCATTCAAAAATTGGTGGAATTGTGGCCTTTGTGTAGTGATGGTAGTCAGCAATCATATGGTTGCTGGTTTAAATTGCGACTGCGCTGCAATAGCCTGTGCAAGTGAGGTGATTTCTTGCAATTAAGTCATAGCTTAATTGGGCGCTAATTGTATGCTCTCTTGTCAACCTAATTATTTAACCTCTGGAGAAGACCTCCAGGCTGGTTGACTTAGAAAAACAAAGCTGGTGACCTCAATTTGGGCGACTAAACGTGGTGAAATTTATTTTATGCAACTGTGAAAGGGCTGCCATTAGGTAGAAAAATTGAAAAGAAAAGTATAAACTTCATCAAATGGAATTCTATCTTATTAAGCTGCTTGATTTTTAATTCGAACAGATGGCCAGATAGATGCCCAAGCGAAGTAGCAGACTTACGGTGAGGGCTATTTTGCCCCTTCTACCTTAAGATTTTGACCCTTGGCCACGTTGGCTACTTTTGGATTTTTGAATTTTGGGAACGACCCTGATAATTTTTGTAAACTCTTTCGGCGCCAGTATGAACAAACTTTGATCGCAATTTTTTGGTCAAAAGTTTCCAAAAAGGCCTAAAAGCGTCTTTGTAGCTTGTTTTTTTTAAACGAAAACCATTACGAGACCAAGCTGTGTACAAGATAGGCGCACAACTTTGTGTCTGTACGTTCCTGGATTCCAGAGAAAAGTCTCAAAACATGTTAAAACTTTATCGGAACGATCAAAGGAATTGAGAGAACACAAGAAGAACAAAACGAGCGTGCTTTCTGCGGAACTTACAATTCACAAAATGCAGTTTTGCCGCGTAATGGTTTGCCTTCTGTTTGAGATAAATTTGGTCAAGTTTGAAGAACTCGCACAAAACTTTCAAAAAGTTTCAGCAAAATCCGCCCCCTTCGAGAACGTCTTACATCCGCCCTGCTCACGCGACTGCTTTTTAAATCTTTTATATTTTTTTCTTACATTTATTTTTTTCTTTCTATTATTGCTCCATAGACCTTAAAAGGCAGTCGGAACATTCAAGGCTTCGCCCTGATACGAGCAGTCTTGTTTCATTGATCCTCAGAGGTTGAAAACAAAATTAATGAATCATAATAACTAGATTGACTATTGCGCTGATGGTTTTAGAATACAACAGATCCAAATGCGAGTAGGCTAAACTCCAAATGCAAATGCTCAAAGCACACTGTGTTGTGTCATGGCGACATCATTTGCGAACTACAAGCTAATCAAACGTCACTAAACGTATATAGAGTATTGATTCGACTCAATCCTCAAACAAGAATGATTTTGAATACTGAAAAATCGAGAAAGCAACGAGGTTTTGCTTGGTTCATACAACAGAGATTCAGAGAACAAGTGATAAGCAATGCTCACAAGGCGCTTTTGGAAAGACAGCCACTCAAAACTGCGCTACAATTAGTTACATGACACCGTGCCATGCCGATAAATGTTCTGTGACATATTCTTAGATCTAAGATCAGCTAAAGGAACAGACAGCCAGTGGTAAAAACAGTTTCACAATAGTCAAAGGGAACGGTTTCATGTAGACTGTTTGTACAAAAATTTTTTATTTTTTTCTTGGCTCAAGACTAAGCTGGGTTGAATCTGGACCAATTCTAGTAAGAAATAGTTTGATCATCAAAAAGTGCTTGTCAGCAACCTTCGCTGGATTTCAAAAAACAATTTTTTTTTGTCTCGTACAAGGCAATTTTTGTACCTGTCTAAATTTCTTTGAGGAAGGCTCTCATTCAAATCTTGGACAATCGCGTTCGGGTATTCCAGAAAGAATCTTTCGACCAAATCAAATAGTTGCTCACCAGAAGCTACAGAACCAGTTTCTCAGTTTTCTTTTGCATTCGAGCCATATATTTTCTATGGTATTTAAGTCAAGTGATTTACCTGGCAAGGGGGTCCCGTTTAAGTTGTTTATCCGGAAAAAACAGAGCAATTTCCTTGTCGATTGAATAGACGCAATTGTCTTGTTGAAAAACATACTCAATGCTACAAAAATGTCCAATATATCGGATAAACAAGATTGTGGGGTATCGATATAATTATCTGCCTTAACTTTTCCCGATGACTGAAAATTTTTTCTGGCTCTATGATAAGTAACACACGCCTATATCATAGCAGAATTTTTTTAAATTTTTCGTAGCACATGGTGGATAGCAATAAAGCTGAGTCTTTGAACGCCGATTACTCAATTTGTTTTGATTATTAATCATAACCCGGCATTTGTCAAAAAATTAAAGGGTCTCTTTATTGTAAAAAAAAAATCCAGTTTAACCGAGTTCTCCACCAAGCGGTGCGCAGTTTCCGAGGTGTTACGGAAATTGTTGTAGATTTTTTTGAAATTCGGCGAAAATTTCTACTGCGAGATAAAAATTTCTCATTTTAGTGTTGTGAACTTGATAATGACTTCAATTTATGAAGTTGTGAGCTTCATAAGTTTTTTTGTACATTTTCAGCTGAATTTCAGCGATAAAGTTGAAACACTTTTTAACTCCACGATTAAATAATTATGGTAATTTTCCATGCCATTGATTTGCTCTTTACAGTTTTGTCTGTTACTTTTGTAACTACTCTACGCATTGTATTCCTTGAGCAATTCAAAACATCAGCATTTTTTTTACCCTGTAAATCGGGCTCTTCAATCTTTTAGCAAATTCTCTGGATTCTTTCGATAATTGCCGCACCATTGAAAATTTCGTTATAACCTCAATTTGAGAGCTAAACTATTTTTGAAATTGAATGTAAGCTGATAAACCCTTTTAAGAAATTGTTTTGATTTGATATGTAAAAAAAATTGAAAAGGTATGGAAAAAAGATGAACAAAAAAGTGCAAGAATTTTACGATCAAACTTTTCGTAAAATCAAAGTGCACTAACTATTTTTGTAGCTGACTGTCGTTTTGTATCAACTATGTTTTGTAGTAATTGTCCTTGACAACTCGGGTTGAGATGTTCAAATTGTTTCGACCGAAGTTATCCAACACACGGATACTGTTTGAACAAACTTCTATGATCAAGAACAACATTCGGTGGGACCAATTTCAAAACATAGGCAAAATATGGTTAGATATAGGCATAAAATAAAATCTAGATAAAATGGCATAATCGAAGACATGTTTAAAATCTGTTCAAATTTAGACTAATTCAAACACAAATCTAGCCGAACACTATAACAAAATTTTGATTGAATTACGGTTCTTCTAAGAAATTGTGCGGAAAAATTGAGTGAAGCGTGGAGTACTTATACTGGATTCTTGAAAACTATTTGACAGCAATTCTTTTTTTTCACTTGAACGAAATATGTGAAAAAAAAATCACCCAAAGAAGTCGCGTGTTTATCGTGATTATAAGGGTGGTTTTTGTTAACTCAAAATTTCTTACAGTGAAACTAAGACTGTGTGTCAAATTTAAAAAAAAACCGCTAGTGTTATATAAGGGTCTTTTGATTGTTTAATGTTTATCTCAAATTTTCGCTATTTGGCTTTAAATTTCTGATTAGTTTTAATTAAATTTTTAATCATAAAGAAAAAAACTAGGCTGAACGCCTGCAGTTTTATGAATAATGATTGATTCTGTTTGAGTTTTGTTGCCATTCTTCACAATATTCAAAAAAATTGAGCAGTTCAAAATTTTATCAGAATTTGGTCGTTACACTTGCTAAAAACACGTTGTGTTGGATACCTATCGAATTTTGTATTTTTTCTCCTCATTTCTTTTTTTTCTCATACATGTTTTGTTCCTCATTTTTGCAAACCTTATTTACCCTCCTCATTACGAGGCCGAACTGTGCTGTGGATTGACTGTGCCCTCGAAAGGCGCTCAATTTTGTTTCTGTATCTTCCTGGATTCATGTTTTTCTTCTGTTAAAGTTTTGTTGGAACGATAAAAAACGAAAGAACATGGAAGCAGTTTAGGATTATTAATAAAGAAGAACAAAACGAGCCTTTTTGTTTTAAAAATGCTCAGTTTGGCATCGTCATTCTTTCCTTTTTTACCCCACCCAGAACTTTAATCCAGCAGAAAAATATTCTGTCTTCTCCAATATAAAAACTCAATTTCAACACTTACTTCGCAAAAACGAATCATTTTATTATTCGTGTTTTGCAATAAAAAATAATTCAAACATTTTGTCCAAAAAATTTTTTTCAATGGATTTTTGGTTATGCTATGGAACAACTTTGGCAAGAATACCCTAAAATCCACCTTCATTGTTTTTGATTCTAAGAAAAAGTTGTTGTGTCCATCCATTCCATTGAAAATTATTGTTTCTCATCAGAAATAAAAAATTTGTTGACTTACTTTTTATACCCGCACCGAGCGCCCATGGAACTTAATCAATTATAATGGATTTCAATTAAAATGGATTATCCCTTACAATCCATTATATTGGGCTATAATGTATTTTTTAGAATCTTTATTTTTTTTGAAAATAATTGCAACTAATTTTAGTCTTTTAAGTTTTTAACAGGTGAACTGATTTTTTTTGCAAATATTTGCAAAAAAATCTATTCTACGTTAATAATAGCCAACTTTAAGTTAAACTTAATTTTTTTAAAAAAGAATTACGAGTCAAACCTGAATGTTATTATAACTCCATTGGCGTTTTTGAAAAAATTCCTGGTGACTGAATATTTAGTCCTGTATTGACCGGCTAAGTCCCAAATCTGAAGTCGAACTTTTTCATCATCAATCATCAATGCTTTGCTTTTGAATTCAGCCCCAATTGTCATCTTGTATCTGTCCGTGAACACATCTGAACAAGACTTATTTTATAAGAGACATGAAAGATAAATTTAGAAAAAAAGGAAAGAAAAAATTTGGCAGAAAAATTACCGGCAAGCGAAAACTTGATATGCTAAATAGTTTCTGTGCCTAACATATCGAATTTTCAAAGTCAGAAAAACATCAAAAAACAGGGCAGCATAAAAAAAATCCTATACTGCTCAACTCATATCAGCTTATAATTTTAGCCTAATTTTCTCGTTTTAGTCGTATGTATCAGGGCATGTTGGTGATTAAGTGTCACCTAACTTCCACACCACATATGTTCATTGTTTGATACAAAATCAGTTTGCTGATTTGGACAGCTAATGAGGATTGCAGGGTAACAAACGATAACTCGATGAAATAATTTGCTCACTGTCTAAAAATCTGTTGACAAGACAAGTTTTCCCAGTTTCCATGTCGCCTGCAATTGCAATTTTTAGCTCACGTGAACTCATCTGAAACGGGTAACAAAGAAATTTACAAATTAAAAAAATTGTGTTTTAAAAGCAGAAATTACGAACTTCAGAACCATTATAACAACGTACCTGATTTTTGCCTAGGATAGTCTGATTGCACGTTTGCATTATTAAAAACAAATAGTCTAGCAATTTTTTCAATTTATTGAAATTCAATTTTCGTATTGATTGGCACCACGTAGTTGAATCGCTAGACACGAAAAAACAATCAAAAAAGTTTTCTTCAAAATCTATAAGGTTTAAGAGTAAATGTTTTTCTAAACTATTTTCTTGTTAATAAAAATAGAGCCAATTGCAAAACTAAATATTTGAATTAATCAAGTTTGCCTATTTTGTTATAATGATTTTTTGGAGAAGTGACTGAATTTTAATTGTTTTGCGCTTATTTGGAGATGACGCAATTTTAGACTCATTGTACTTTTGCCTAAATTATCGTTGCAATACCTAGTCATTATGCTTGATACTGTCGTTGTAAATGACGTCAGTTTTATAACAAAACTGTTTTCAAAATGTCAAGTCTACTTACCAACAACATTGTTCAGTTATTTGAATAAGTTGTTCAAGTAATCATCGATAAGTGGAACTATCATATTAGTTCGATCTTTTTCTTACCTATAAAAGGCTGTTTTTAAAAATGACTACCCGGGTCGAGGTCCGCGACTTAAGAAAAAAATTTGTAAGTCGCGCCGCATATCGTTTTCAGACTGGATTTTGCAGTCGCGCCGCGTGCTGAAGTCGCGCCGTCAGTCTTTTCTTAAGCTGCGCCGCTTAAGTCTTTTCTTAAGTCGCGCCGCGCCGCTGAAGCCTTTTTTAATGTCGCGCCGCGCCGCTTTAGTCTTTTATTATGTCGCACCTCTTAAGTTGCGCCGCGCCGATGAAGCCTTTTCTTAAGTCGCGCAGCGCATCTTTTTTCTTTTTTTAAATCGCACCGAGCAAGTCTTTTTTAAGTTGCACCGCATCAATTCTTTTTTAAGTTTCGCCGCATCAAGTCTTTTTTAAGTCGCGCCGCCTAGGTCTTTTCCTAAGTCGCGCCGCTCAAGTCTTTTCATAAGTCGCCTTGCGTCGCTCAAGTTCTTTCTTAAGTCGCGTCACGCCGCTTAAATCTTTTTTCAAGTCGCGCCGCGCTAGTTAAGTCTTTTCGTAAGTCGCGCCGCGCCGCTTAAGTCTTTTCTTGATTCGCGCCGCGCCGCTAATGTTTTTTCTTAAGTCGCGTCGCTCTGCTCAAGTCTTGTTTTAAGTCGCGCCGCGCCGCTTAAGTCTCTTTTCAAGTCGCGTCGCGCCGCTTTAGTATTTTCTTAAATCGCGCCGCGCCGCTAATGTCTTTTCTTAAGTAGCACGGCATTGACTAAGTCTTTTCTTAATTCGCGGCGCGCCCCTTAAGTCTTTTGTCAAGTCGCGTCGCGCCGATTAAGTCTTGTCTTAAGTCGCGCCGCGCCGCTTAAGTCTCTTTTCTAGTCGCGTCACGCCGCTTTAGTCTTTTCTTAAGTCGCGCCGAGCCGCGCCGCTCAAGTCTTTTCTTAAGTCGCGCCGCTTAAGCTTTTTTATAAGTCTTGCCGCTTAAGTTTTTTCTCAAGTCGCGCCGCTTAAGTCTTTTTAAGTCGCGCCGTTTGATCTTTTCTCAAGTCGCGCCGCTTTAGTCTTTTTTAAGTCGCGCCGTTTGAGTCTTTCTTTTTTAAGTCGCGCCGCTTAAGTCTCTTTTCAAGTCGCGTCGCGCCGCTTAAGTCTTTTCTTAAGTCGCGCCGCGCCGCTTAAGTCTTTTCTTAAGTCGCGCCGCTTAAGCTTTTTTTTTAAGTCTTGCCGCTTAAGTTTTTTCTCAAGTCGCGCCGCTTAAGTCTTTTCTCAAGTCGCTCCGCTTAAGTATTTTTTAAGTCGCGCCGTTTGAGTCTTTTTTTAAGTCGCGCCGCTTACGTCTTTTTTCAAATCGCGCCGCGCTGATTAAGTCTTTTCCTAAGTCGCGCCGCGCCGCGCCGCTCAAGTCTTTTCTTAAGTCGCGCCGCTTAAGCTTTTTTATAAGTCTTGCCGCTTAAGTTTTTTCTCAAGTCGCGCCGCTTAAGTCTTTTTAAGTCGCGCCGTTTGATCTTTTCTCAAGTCGCGCCGCTTTAGTCTTTTTTAAGTCGCGCCGTTTGAGTCTTTCTTTTTTAAGTCGCGCCGCTTAAGTCTCTTTTCAAGTCGCGTCGCGCCGCTTAAGTCTTTTCTTAAGTCGCGCCGCGCCGCTTAAGTCTTTTCTTAAGTCGCGCCGCTTAAGCTTTTTTTTTTAAGTCTTGCCGCTTAAGTTTTTTCTCAAGTCGCGCCGCTTAAGTCTTTTCTCAAGTCGCTCCGCTTAAGTATTTTTTAAGTCGCGCCGTTTGAGTCTTTTCTTAAGTCGCGCCGCTTACGTCTTTTTTCAAATCGCGCCGCGCTGATTAAGTCTTTTCCTAAGTCGCGCCGCGCCGCTTAAGTCTTTTCTTGATTCGCACCACGCCGCTTAAGTTTTTTCTTAAGTCGTGCCGCGCTGGTTAAGTCTTTTCTTAAGTCGCGCGCAACGCTGATATCTTTTATTAAGTCGCACTGCATTGCCTAAGTCTTTTCTTAAGTCGCGGCGCGCCGCTTAAGTCTTTTGTCAAGTCGCGTCGCGCCGCTTAAGTCTTTTTTGTAAGTCGCCCCGCGCTGCTTAAGTCTTTTCTTATGTCGCAGCGCGCCGCTAAAGTCTTTTCTTAAGTCGCACAGCATTGCCTAAGTCTTTTCTTAAGTCGCCGCGCGCCGCTTAAGTCTTTTGTCAAGTCGCGTCGCGCCGCTTAAGTCTTTTCTTAAGTCGCGCCGCGCTGCTTAAGTCTTTTCTTATGTCGCGCCGCGCCGCTAAAGTCTTTTCTTAAGTCGCGGCGCGCCGCTTAAGTCTTTTGTCAAGTCGCGTCGCGCCGCTTAAGTTTTTTCATAAGTCGCGGCGCGCCGCTTAAGTCTTTTGTCAAGTCGCGTCGCGCCGCTTAAGTTTTTTGTCAAGTCGCGCCGCTTAAGTCTTTTTTATGTTGCACCGCATCACGTCTTTTTTAAGTCGCGCTGCCTAGGTCTTTTCCTAAGTCGCGCCGCTCAAGTCTTTTCTTAAGTCAACTTGCGTCGCTCAAGTTCTTTCTTAGGTCGCGTCGCGCTGCTTAAGTCTTTTCTTATGTCGCGCCGCGCCGCTAAAGTCTTTTCTTAAGTCGCGGCGCGCCGCTTAAGTCTTTTGTCAAGTCGCGTCGCGCCGCTTAAGTTTTTTGTCAAGTCGCGCCGCTTAAGTCTTTTTTATGTTGCACCGCATCACGTCTTTTTTAAGTCGCGCTGCCTAGGTCTTTTCCTAAGTCGCGCCGCTCAAGTCTTTTCTTAAGTCAACTTGCGTCGCTCAAGTTCTTTCTTAGGTCGCGTCGCGCTGCTTAAGTCTTTTTTCGAGTCGCGCCGCGCTAGTTAAGTCTTTTCTTGATTCGCGCGGCGCCACTTATGTTTTTTCTTAAGTCGCGTCGCTCTGCTCAAGTCTTGTCTTAAGTCGCGCCGCGCCGCTTAAGTCTCTTTTCAAGTCGCGTCGCGCCGCTTAAGTCTTTTCTAAAGTCGCGCCGCACCGCTAATGTCTTTTCTTAAGTCGCCTGGCATTGCCTAAGTCTTTTCTTAATTCGCGGCGCGCCCCTTAAGTCTTTTGTCAAGTCGCGTCGCGCCGCTTAAGTCTTTTCTTAAGTCGCGCCGCGCCGCTTAAATCTTTTCTTACGTCGCGCCGCGCCTCTTAAATCTTTTCTTAAGTCGCGCCGCTTAAGTCTTTTTTAAGTCGCGCCGCATCAAGTCTTTTTTAAGTCGCACCGCATCAAGTCTTTTTAAGTCGCGCAGCTTAGGTTTTTTCCTAAGTCGCGCCGCTCAAGTCTTTTCTTAAGTCGCGTCGCTCTGCTCAAGTCTTGTCTTAAGTCGCGCCGCGCCGCCTAAGTCTCTTTTCAAGTCGCGTCGCGCCGCTTAAGTCTTTTCTTAAGTCGCGCCGCGCCGCTAAAGTCTTTTCTTAAGTCGCACGGCATTGCCTAAGTCTTTTCTTAAGTCGCGGCGCGCCTCTTAAGTCTTTTATCAAGTCGCTTCGCGCCGCTTAAGTCTTTTCTTAAGTCGCGCCGCGCCGCTTAAGTCTTTTCTTAAGTCGCGCCGCGCCGCTTAAACTTTTTCTTAAGTCGCGCCGCTTAAGTTTTTTGTCAAGTCGCGCCGCTTAAGTCTTTTTTAAGTCGCACCTCATCAAATCTTTTTAAAGTCGCGCCGCTTAGGTCTTTTCCTAAGTCGCGCCGCTCAAGTCTTTTCTTAAGTCGCGCTGCGCCGCTCAAGTTCTTTCTTAAGTCTCGTCGCGCCGCTCAAGTCTTTTTTCAAGTCGCGCCGCGCTGCTTAAGTTTTTTCCTAAAGCGCGCCGCGCCGCTTAAGTCCTTTCTTGATTCGCGCCGCGCCGCTTAAGTTTTTTCTTAAAACGCCGCGCAGCTTAAGTCTTTTTTTTAAAGTCGTGCCGCGCTGCCTAAGTCTTTTCTTAATTCACGCCGCGCCACTTAAATCTTTTCATAAGTCGCGCCGCAACGCTCATATCTTTTCTTAAGTTGCGCCGCGCCGCTAAAGTCTTTTCTTAAGTCGCACGGAATTGCCTAGTCTTTTCTTAATTTCGCGGCGCGCCGCTTAAGTCTTTTGTCAAGTCGCGTCGCGCCGCTTATTTTTTTTAAAGTCGCGCCGCGTCGCTTAAGTCTTTTCTTAAGTTGCGCGCGCCGCTTAAACCTTTTCTTAAGTCGCGCCGCTTAAATTTTATCTCAAGTCGCGCCGATTAAGTTTTTTCTTAAGTCGCGCCGCGCCGCTAAAATCTTTTCTTAAGTCGCACGGCATTGCCTAGTCTTTTCTTAAATTCGCGGCGCGCCGCTTTAGTCTTTTGTCAAGTCACTTCGCGCCGCTTAAGTTTTTTCTTAAGTCGCGCCGCGCCTCTTATGTCTTTTCTTAAGTCGCGCCGCGCCGCTTAAACTTTTTCTTAAATCGCGCCGCTTAAGTCTTTTTTTAAGTCGCACCGCATTAAGTCTTTTGTCAAGTCGCGTCGCGCCGCTTATTTTTTTTAAAGTCGCGCCGCGTCGCTTAAGTCTTTTCTTAAGTTGCGCGCGCCGCTTAAACCTTTTCTTAAGTCGCGCCGCTTAAATTTTATCTCAAGTCGCGCCGATTAAGTTTTTTTTTAAGTCGCGCCGCGCCGCTAAAGTCTTTTCTTAAGTCGCACGGCATTGCCTAGTCTTTTCTTAAATTCGCGGCGCGCCGCTTTTGTCTTTTGTCAAGTCACTTCGCGCCG